TTTAGACAGTAGTTTTTAACGAATTTCCCATATAGGGAAGAAGCTATTACCGTAGTACTCATGGTAAGACCTGGTCCCGGGATCGATTTATTTTTTAGTTTTGAGGTCCCCAGAGGCCATAAACACCATCCGTTCAAATTCAAATATATAAATATGTGTGTGTGTCCATTAGCGCGATAACTCGAGCAAAAATGATTCGATTTTGATGAAATTTGGTAGAAACGTCTAAACCTACGTTTATTCGAACTAGTTCGCGAACGAGCATGATCGGACTATGGGAACGGGGGTTTATGGGGTAAAAATTGGGTTTCCCTATTTTTTACTCTAAAAACATAAAATTTCACAATTTCTTTCCAGACCATTTTGTGTAGCTTAAAAAAAAACAAATTATTTAGTATATTATTGAAGCGTTATTGTGCGCTTAATGGTTACGGTGAAAATTCCAAAAAAATTTAAATTTTAAATTTCTATGTTATTCTTATGGAGAATAAGTCAATTGTTGTAGTTTGCTTGTTTATGAACATATTTTGATCAAATTTGCAAAATATATTCATTTCCTACTAAACTATTAACATGTTACAAAAAAACCCACTTTGTTACTCTCCTTGTTGCATCAACCCTAATCAATCGTTAAACTAATTTAATTTAAATAGGGAATAAACGTGATATTTTAAAGGAGGCATTTTAGTGTAAATCCATTCAGGATAATGGAAATTCACTTAGTCTGCAGGTTTGCTGTGGCCGGTTTATTTTAATTATATTCACTGTATTTTTCTCTCAACGGTCTTCTCCATACTGAATATATGTTTTTTTTTCTATTTATGCTATAATAGGACTAAACCTTTGGAAAATTTAAATGTTTACAGCAATTTTCGCTGCATTTTAGCTACCGTACTTAATATTGTATTCATACATATATAGTGAAATTGTGATGGTTGTATGCCAACCATTTCCTCAGCATGTAGTATGGTGTGACGTCAGACTTTTGATCATGTAGCCATTGGCTAACTGTTATGACGTCAAGACCTCGTTTCCCGGCAGTCAAGTTGCACTGGGGCAAGGGTAAGAATATCGTCAGCAAAGAGTGATGCACCATTGCAAACCACTGGAGAAATTATACGCCAAAATTCATTCAAAAACAATTTTTAATTCTTACATGACTTTGCAGTTTGCAAGATATAATTTTTCTTCTTTAAGTTTAAACAAATTGGTGTTCCTACTCTTGGTAATTCATTGTTAGTAAAGTAGAGAAACCAATTGATAGACGTATAAGAAATAGAGTCTAGTTTACATATTTAGCGCTTTTTATAAATATTTATGATTCTTATTACATTTTATTAAGTTGGTTTAAAATGGTACGGGATCTACGGGTTGTTGGCCTAATTATTTCTGATCTAAAATTGGACTGAAATGTTTTAGCAAGTAAAAAAATGTCTTGGAAGGAGATTAAGCATTATTTCGTTGTTAGTAAATATCGATATCTATTTTTAAAAGTTGAATATATTCCCTAAGACAAAGTAAAAAATATTATTTAATTGGAAATAATAGCTTGGGCGTTAGGACAAATATATATTCTAACAAATGGGTTGAATGAATGTATAATGCTAAGACGTTTGCAACTATCTCTCCATGTTTGCCTGATTGGAGTTTAAAGAAATTTTGCACAAAGATTATATAGAATTCTAGATCATAAGCAAAAGGTTCTAATTTACAAGACTTATGCGAATTGTTTCACTCATTAGTATTCATGGCAATGGTAAGAACATGTAATGTTAATTTTTAATTTTTTTACTTTTCTAAAATTAATTTGAAGATTCTTCTAAAAAAAAAACACTACCTTAACACCAACAAAGGATGAATTAGCTGCCAAAATATCAAATAAGATACCTTATTAAACTAAGTCAATCGGTTATCCAATAATGGTGAAACAAAAAATCTTTTACTCGATAGTATTGTAGGAATATCTTCTTCTGTCTGTGGTCACCCCATACCCCGTTCACTCACAGATGAATCCAATAATCAGTCATAACATGTGTTTTAATTAAATTAAATCAAATAAAAACAAGATTAATCCTGAAGTGTTTAAGGAAAAATAAGCATATACGACTAAATAAACACTCTACATTCTAAGTTGAAATCATTCAAAGTAACATGAAAAAAGTGTATAACTATGTTTACATTTTAGATGCAATCTGAAAGCAATCCAACGAAATCAAAGCTGATTAAATCCTATTCTAAGACCTCTTAAACCTTGTACTGCAGTGAGCCGTGTGACAATGTATTTTTAGTTATATAAGATTGAGTGGTGCAGATATCACCAAGGCTTTGGTTGGTGACAGTGGATATATTGCTGCGTTCCTATTGGTTGAGTTCAACACGCCCTCGAATCAGCTGGGAGCTGCGTGTCCAAATTACGTCATAATTGACTTTTGCCAAATCAGATGCAAGATTTTTTTACTTGGATGAATTACGTATAGAGTTAACATGTGGGTGGTGGGTGGTGGGTGGTTTTAGATTATAATATACTCAATGTGTATAATATAATGTGAATTTATGTTTAACAGTTCTCGGATCTGTTTGATTCTACCAAATTAATGTGTCATAATTTTAATGCAATTTCTACAGGTCAAATTTATACAGTGTACACAATCATGTTATGTAAAAGGGTTGACAATTATTGCAGTAATTTCAAATGGAATTGTAGTACTTTGATTGTATGCTAGTTCTCACTTATTGAGGAAGAGCTTATTACTCTAAGAACACACAAATTACACAACAACAGGTGTCCGAATTGTCCGAATTAACTTGGACCTAATAGAAATTGAAGGCCATAAGGTTGTGTAACAAACATTGAAGGTTGGTGTGGTTAAACTTTTACTCAAGTATGAGTTGGTTAAGGGAAGTGTACAGTACAGTACATAATGATATGGCTAAACGAGTACAGTACTTGTATAAAATTGAGGGAAGTCTTTTTATAAGCTTTTTACATAAAAATCTTTTGACCAAACATGACGCATTAACGCTATTTTAGTGATTGAATGCTAAATTATTTTAGGAGTGGTATTGCAATGATCTAGTGGTAGAGCGCGGGGTTTCGGTAAAGATACTCGTTCGGGAGTTAATGCGTGTTACACCTAAAGGATAGTGGTGTACATTATGCATCCTGTAGCTCATAAATAAATAAGTTTAGAGAGAAAATGCAAAGAATATTTATGCCATATTGATCAATGTTTTTTTAGAATATTTATTTATGTTGATGCTTTAAAATCACATCTACATTCTAAAAATAATATAAAATACGTTAGAGTATTGATTCTGCTATTGAAAAAATAGCATATTTAAAACATTTGAAACCATACAAAAAATATCTAAAGAAATAAAGAGGATAAGAAGATCTATATCTATCTATATCTATATCTATATCTAATAATATTTTTAATAAATTATTTAATTTTATTTGTTTAATGGTATTCCTGGTTGATACAAATCCTAATCTGTAGAACGTTTAGTGAAATCTTCTTAGTGATAAAATAAACAGGTTTCGCTAACAAATGCGTCATATTATTCATTTTACACACACAAACTTACATTATTTCCATCAAAGCATTATGATATGAGTCTGACTCAGTGGGTTTCGCTTTAGATACATACATGAAGCAGACATTATATTTAAATATTACAACTGTGGCCTTCTTTAAAAAAAGAACTTATTTCGACTGAGCCACTGACAATCCTGTGCTATTATATATATTTGGTATACACTCAATGTTAATCAAACCAAATTAAAAGGGAACCTTATCGTGAATCAGAACCATATTGTCAATCATGCTAGGATTTATATTATAGTAAATCAAACTAGAATTGAAATTTTGAACTTCATAAACAAATCAATTTATGAGAGAATCATTCAAACACGTTCCCTTGATAACAAATTGGTTGCAGCTGGTTCATGTAAATTTTACTGAACGTTATTTATGTGAAATTGAAAAATTAACTATAATTATGCTTAACGCAATACGCCTCACCTTAAACGGACATAAAATTTCAGTTTTTGTATATACTTAAAATTCTAACAGTGTAGGGAAGATTTTTTTATTCTATTTGACAGTTTTCAAAAGAACGTATACACATTTCTTGAGCAAGTTTTGGCGCCCATCTATTGATTTTTTTAAAATTGTTTAATCAGATTTTATTAAAGCGGTTTTTTGATGGCTTTGACTGTAACGAACTATATATTTTCAAATAGAATGCCCAATTCAGAGACTAAAATAAGCTATTGAAAATATAAACATCTTAAAAAATACGGAATAAATTTTTTTATCAAGATTTAATCAGGCAATGACAAAACCCGAGAGCACAGAATGGTCAAAACATTTTGAAAAATATATAAAATCACTCTTTCCGGAATAAGAGTGAAAGTTACATAACAGAATTTTTATTTTTATAGCAATTTCCCTGCATAATAATGCCTTCAAATCTTTAACCTTTTGTTATACCAAACAAATTATACACTACAGTAGACAAATTTAGGCATATTAAAACAGATAATGAGACCTTTAAATTAACCACTCTTCGACTTAACATACCAATCACAAATATCAGGTATAACACAGAAACCACATATTGATCAGTGAAAATAAGGTTATAACTTTTGGTCTCTACTGGCCGGATAGTTGAAAGATAATTCATTGTTTTGTGTGTTTTATGTCCTAATGGTTTTTTTACGTTTTGAAAGGGAACGGTCCTATAATAATAGAATATAATTTTGAACTTATTGTTTGGATAAGATTAATTTGATAACGGGTTTGGGTTAAGTGTAATCCTTAGACCCTTATTTTAGTGTCCAAAGTCATTTTCTTTCTAATATTTTCATCCCTCTCTAAGATATTTTGCCTGCGCCACAATTCACACCCATTGATCGACCTAGCCCACCACTCAACGACGGGATGCAGGCACATATCAACTCTAAATCCTCTAATCCCAGCGAATTATCTGTCTATTGCGTCCCCTCCACCTCGACCTCATGTAAATATGTCGCGAACGATGCCTTCGCCTCAGTCTAGTGCCTACCCGCCGATCTCGAGGATATCAGGTACCTAGTGCCTAATAGTGCTTACGGTTCACACATACACGTATGTATAAGAAATCTGTGTGCTGTTTAAATTTATTATATTTATTTTTTTATTTAAAAGTGAAAATGTTTTAAATTTTGGTCCCTACTAGCCGGATGGTTAAAAAAGTATTTATTATTTTGTTTTTTCTATGCAAATGCTATTTTTTTACGTTTTGAAAGGGAAAAGCTTCTAAAATATATATATTATAATTTTGGATGTATTGTTAGGATGAGATTGATTTGGTAAATGGTCTGGGTTAAAATGTAACTCTTAGAGTAGCTAGGATGAATAATTGGATAAAAATGTAAATTAATTTGACATTTTTGGTCCTAATTGAGCCGGATAGGTAGGAAAGTGAACTTCAAGCATTGCTTGTAAAAAAATGATATTGTAAAAGTTTTATATTTATTTAGTTTTGAGGGCAGTACCTAGGATAATAATAAATGTTTAGGATAATAATAATATGTTTTTATTGAAGCGAAATAAAAACAGGGTTTAAGGTTTAGTCCCTTTCTACCAGATAGGTGATAAAACAATATTTAAGCTTTGTTTGGCTTAAAAATGTAAATTATTGGCGGACAAATGACAAAGGCAAATGCAAAATTTTTTGTTGTTGTAGTTAATTTGATTTCAACAGTTTTCATTATCAATACGTCGTTCTTAGGGTAGGTTTTACAAATTTGATTAAATTGTTGATAAGATGTTTGGAATTTTGGTCCATTTGGGCCGGATAACTTGTAAAAATAAATTTAAGCAAAACCTATAAGTTCGTCACGAACAATGGGATTTTTTAATGTATTATTATATATACTGTATTTAATTCCTTTTACATAAATAAAATTGTATTTCAGAAGTAATCAAATTTACAATTCTAAACAGTTATTCTAAACTACCTGTGAATGGGTTATATCATATGATAAGTAATCTATGGAATATCCCCAATCTAATATTTTTTATAAACCTGTTACCTAATGAGGTCCACGAGGAAGATAAAACCGGCTATTTAAAACTAGGATCAAAGGACCCACTGTAAAATAATATTGTGTGGCAAAACTGTTACAAAAGCTAACAGTGAATCAGCTTTTGTCAGTGTTTCGGAAATAAGTTCTAAGAGTAGTTGTATAATAAACCGTTAAAAATATTAGTAATTTAGTAGTGATAATGTAAATTAATGTTGTCAGTGACACAAATATACCTGGCGTCCCGAAAGTAAACAGGTCTAACACCCGGTAAAAATTCTACGAGTCAAAAATAAATAGAGATTAAATAAAAGAAAATACCTAAGAAAACTTCGTTAACCAGATGTGTCCACAATATTTATTTAAAAAAAAATTGTTGCATTTTTCCAACCGATCTTTGTGAAACTTATGTATTCTTATAAATTATACTGGCCAGAGAAGTACCTTTAAATAATACACTTTTAAATAATAGTGTTAATGATTTATATTTTCATTCGTAAATTAAAGTAAGGTTTGAAGCTTGAAACATGTGCTTGTTTTATTTTGTGATGGTAAATCTATTTAAGTATTTCTTAAATAATTAATCCAGCTAGCTAATAAAAAAAGTTAGTTAATTGGTTATAATATTATAAACATCTACAAATCTGGTTAAGGATCTGGTTATTTTTGGTTGGATTAGGTTTGGTTAGAACCGATAGCTTAAAAACTAAATTTTGTAGCGTTACACAAAACTTACAGCGGAAAAAATCAGGAGTGAAATTTGACCAATGAGTGATCAATACAAAAATATAACAATCAAATGTGCACTAAATTGAATGACTTCAGAATTAAAAAAATTGACACAATGTAAGCGAACTTGAACTGTCAGCAAAATACGCACTTCACATTGACAAAATCGGAACCAAAACGTAATTTTGTTCCATTATTTCGCAAATTTCCCTCTTCGCATTGTCCACCAGTAATTTGAAGCATTGTTGGTTTTTGCGCGACGTGGAGTAGTTTTGCACATCATCAGCTGTTACATTGTTGTCGCCTCCAGGTAGACTAAATGACGTAATATGATTGACCTTGAGCCGGTTGTCCACCTGTCACGTTTGACCTTGACCTTTGTGTCGTGTTGACTAATTAGAACACAGAAGTTTGTTTTGTTTGATATTTTACGCACGATTATGCGACTAAACCACTGTGTTTTTGGTGAAATTAAATTGCTGACCAGTATTGTTTTAATTAGAAATAAAAGTCGTCCAGTGGTCGAACATATATAATGTAAACAGACATCTCTATTTTAACACCACGTAAATAAAACATGTGATTGGAATTTCTTCCATTTGTTTTGATTTTATGTTTATGTTTTGCTGTTATTTCGTCACCAGGATGGCAACCCATGTAATTTTTTTTATAAATTTAAAATAAATGTTTGTGCTTATTTTTTTAGTTTAGCTCAATTTATAAGGGGATTCTGCACATCTATAGGAAAATATCTTTCTAACAGTTTTACAGAAAACACAATCTCCAAAATTGATTGATCCCCTTATGCCTGTGTGTGAAGAACGAGTTAATATCCTAGAATCGAAATTAATTACAGTAACACAGTAATAATCTACATACCAAAAATTTACATCTAATAAATAAATAGATAGATTTAAAAAAATAAACCGCTTATGCTAAAACAATTTTAGTTCAGCAATCGAATCGTCACCGACTAAACAGTTCGGACGAGTTTCACGGACGTAAATATGAAAGTAACGTGATTAGTAAATTGTGTTTACCACTCGCAATTCAAAGTAAAAGCAGCGTACACGATTTAGCACTTAGTCTGAGCTGTAATACTTCATTCTTTAAATGGTTCACTAGAGAATGGTGCAATTTTGCAAGGTCTAGGTAGATAGTAATAACTTTCCGAAGGTGATCGAGTTAGTGTTTTCTACTCATACTATTTTTACTGCCCTTAAGTTGTTTTTTACTTGTGCTTTTCTATGATTATTATAACGTTCACGTTAGTTGATAAATATTGTTTTCAGTTTCAATGAGTGTTGACTGCAAATTTATGCCTTGCTATTTGAATATGACAAATGTTTTGAAGATTTTATTAATTAATTCCTATACATTTTACTGATTAGAATTAGACTTCCAAGAGCAATTTGAAACCATTTCAGTAGATTTGTTAACTACTTCATTATTTATTGAGTCAGACAAGCCAATATATTTTATAATTGACTTTTATTTGGTAAAATCTTAATGCAGTTTTTATTTGGGTTTCATTCCGGTAAAGGTTAGAACCTTCTCCTCTTCTTTAAAGATATACTTTCCAGAGAACGCTTACTTTTTAGTTACAATAGAAGAGGAAAACAGTGGGTTTCAAATTAGATAATACTAATGGTAATAATACTTATGAATAAAGAGGACACACTCATTCGTTGTTAATAATCACCTAACGTAAACTCACTTTTACAATTTTCTTCAGCTAATCAATAATAATATAAATATGTTAAAAGTATACTTTTAATAGTAGATTTGTTCCGGCTTGATTTGATGGACCGAGGACCGTTGTATCGGTCATATTTGTTAAAGGATCCATTTTAAATAGGAAATGCATCTACCGTACTTTATTTGGCTACAATGAACATTTTGTATCGGGTTTTCGACTATAGTGCGTAGTTTAAGATTCAGAATCCCTGTTGGACAAATTTTACTTTGTATTAATTCCTAACTAGAATCAAAATCAGAATATTTTAACTGCCTTCTTTGACATAGATTCAAAGTTATCGAAAACTACAGGACCTTCCAACATCCAATAAGTATTTATATCATTCATATTAAACAAGAGGCCTTTCTGAACACAGTATGACAAATAGAACTAATCAGCTGATCATCGACAAATATAATCAATCAGCTGTTCATAGACAAATATAAACAATCAGCTGATCATTGACAAATATAACCAATCAGCTGATCAGCCCCAATGTGTTATAAAGTGCATACAAGCGTCTAACAGCATAATCCTAGGTTGTACAACCGGACAATATATCATTGACAAACCTGCTGGAGGCATTGGAACTTTCCGTTGCTTTTGTCTTTGTGTAACCACGGTTGCAACATTTAACTCTACGTCTAGTCTTGTTTAACCTGAGCACCAGATGTTTGTGTTTATAACAGGAAATAACATGACGTTTGTGTCTGTGGAGGTGGCAAGGATGTTTTGTAGGGTAGGCTTTAATTGCGCCAACTGACCTGAGTCAGGTAGTCGGGTATTGCTGAATTGCGCCAACTACTCCAGGGAGCCACCCGATACGTTCCTTATCTAAGCCAAAGGCGGCCTTTCTTTGACTGTATAATTGAGTAGGTTAGGTTAGGTTAGATTATAATAGGATGTCAGGTGAGGACATTCCTTCTGTCGGCAACTCAACCCTACCTTGGGCTTTTTGGGACTCTTTGAGTGCTTGGCGCAATTAATGCACGACCGTTTAGTGTGTAAGGTTTCCTGAGATAATTTGAAGAGTATTCTATTGAAACAAATTTATTTAGAATAAAAAGATCTTAAGATTTCAAGCTCGTTTTAGTTTTACATTTTGTTATTGATTCACCATCAATAATTAAAAAAAGAATTAAAAAGAAATTTATCAGCAAAACTGGATTAAATTAAAAGGAAAAGATCGGTTAAATATTACAGATAAAGACAATTATCATGTTAGGTGGAATACAAAGTTTTTAAACTATAAAACTGCAACCCCAGCCTATCGGTATCTTCTAAGCATTTAGTTTTTAATCCTCGTGGATATAATAATCTTCAGGAATAAAATATTCTACCATTAACCAAAACAAACCAACATTATATTCCTATGAACTGTTTTCTTTGTAGGATGATCCATTATGAAATAAACATACACTACAATGTCTTTCTTAAATCACTAATTATTGAATTATTAACAATATTAACACTACTTGTAAATATCTAATCTAGTTCAATGTCTTTAGAGTTTGTTTACAAATTAAATTTCATGTTCACTGAATTCACAAGG